ATCTTATTTGAAGATGATTTAAATAAAATTTTCGCTGACGAGAAGTAAAATATTGTTATAAAACTAATTCAATCTATGATCTATAGTATAAGTTGGTGAGATACAAATTTGATTGTAAACCATTCAGTTTCATCGAACAAGGAATGTTGAAATCTTTTGCACCATTTTTTGAAAAATAGCAAAAATAAAACACTTTAAGGTATTTCCCTGGATTTGATACTTGCAAGTTGCAAGAGTATGAAATGTTCTGTTACACCCGAACTTAGCCCTTCCTTACTTATTTAATATAGGTCAAGTAAAAAGTTCGTTCGGTTTTTATCTAAGAGATGGCGTTATTGTCCATAGTACTAGTGTTACGTGTCGCATCATGTCATACTATACGGCGCTGAAAACGTGTTTATTCGCGCTAAAAGTTTGTCTTTGACAGTTGTTTGATTGATATACTCAGTTCGTTGTGAGCGCTCGTCAAAGATGGACACCAACAAAGAGAAAATTCGCTATATTTTACAATTTTTTTTCGATCAAAGCCCGATACTGTAAACGAACGTGTAGCACAAAAGTGATTTGCTAGGTTCCGTTCCGGTAATTTCGATGTCAAAGATGCACCACGCGTCAGGAGGCCTGTCGTCGAAAATTGCGATAAAATCACTTATTTAATTGCTAAGAAACTAAAGATAAGCCAGAAAACCGTTTGGAACCATTTGCATAACCTTGGATTCAAAAAGGAGCTCTATGTTTGGGTGTCACACGAACTAACGCAAAAAACATGATGGACCGAATTTCCATCTGCAAATCGCTGCAGAATCGCAACAAAATCGACCCGTTGCTGAAGCGGATTGTGACTGGCGATGAAAAATGGGTCAGTTATCACAACATCGAGCGCAAACGGTCGTGGTCAAAGCTCGGGGAAGCGGCCCAGATTTAGGCCAAGACCTGATTGACGGCCAGGAAGGTTTTGCTGTGTGTTTGGTGGGATGGCCAAGGAATCATCTACTGCGAGCTGCTCCCCTATGGCCAAACGCTCAATTTGGCCCTCTATTGCCAACAACTGGACTGCTTGAAGGCAGCACTCATCCAGAAGAGGCCATCTTTGATCAACAGAGGCCGAATTGTCTTCCATCAGGACAACGCCAGGCCACACACGTCTTTGGTGACTTGCCAGAAGCTCCTGGAGCTCGGATGGGAGGTTCTAATGCACCCACCTTATAGTCCGGACCTGGCATCAAGTGATTACCATCTTTTCCTGTCCATGGCAAACGCGCTTAATGGTGAGAAGTTGGCCTCAAGAGAGGCCTGTGAAAATTGGCTCTCCGAGTTTTTTGGCAATAGGGACGCAGTCTTCTACGAGAGGGGTATAATGAAGTTGGCATCTCGTTGGCAACAAGTTTACGAACAAAACGGCGCATATTTGACTTAAATCGGACAAATGTACACAAAGTTATCATCTTTTGAAAAATCAATAAAAAACCAAACGAACTTTTTACTTTACCTAATATAAAGTTTTGCCTACACCTAAAAGTATTTCCTCGGCGTTAAACCTTGCACAAGTTTGATGACAACCGAATTTAGCTCTTTGTGATATCTACAAATCGAAATTTCGACTATTTTTCTAGTTTTCTAAATAAATATATTTGGAAAAATCACGAAATATTTTGTCCGGATTCTTCATTGAAATATATTGTCAGGTTTAAATAGGTGTTCTTCACAGTTGAACGAAATAGCTTGTTTCTACATACAACCATGTACTTCGTTTTCGTCTTGCCCATTGATTCTTCGAATTTTTTACACATTCTAGCGTGAATCATTTTAAGAAATATCTTAAGTGCATATGACATTAGACTAATTAGTTTATGGTAGTTTACTACAGTGCTTGGCATTATTTTTCTTAGGCAGTGATATAAAGGTAGACCTCAACCAGTCCGTTGGGTATTAGCAATTGTCATAGAAGTGATTGAATAGTTTTTGCAACAGTACTTTTGTCATTTATTAATTTTAAAATTTTAGGTATTGTATTGGTATTGTGGAATCGGACAATTGTCACACCTACGAAAAGTCATTAATCGAAAACTTATAACTAAGTTCCACAAAAGATACAAAACTATAATTTTGAACAATGAATTCCATTAGGGGAGGGGGCATCTGTGTTTTGAAAAATTTTGAAAAACGGTATGGACCAACCATCTAATACGTTTATTATTGGGTCTAGAGCTATAACAACTAAATTTGCTTGGAACAAATCGTGTTGGCACCTACTCCAACAGTGGGAAAGTGGGTGTAATCGGATCATAACCCCACCCACTCTCCATATATTGGTAATGTTGAGAACTACTAGTGCGATAACTAACTTTCTCCTTTTCTATGATCGTATTTGTTCGTATAAACTTCTAGTATTCCATATTCCAAAGTTCCAGACAGAGATTGAAGGCCGTTGTGTGTCGTATTGTCATTGCTATATAATATGCCGGTAAGTGTACTTCAGTGGTTTCTCCTTCCTTCTGAAAGGTTTATTTCCTTACATATTTATAGAGCATTACAGGGACAGACGTCCGCTTTCTAGAGCTGCAAACTAGTCGGATCACTCGATAGCTTACAAAGATACTACCTATAGTATCGATAGTTTTTTCCCTTGAAATCTACTTACTTTTCGCTGGTTTAAATAAAGAGACCTTGGTTTTGTACACTTCATTTTTTATTTTAAATTATTTTTGGACTTAATTATAAAACAAAACATGAACAATAAAGAAAAACACAAAAAAATAAATAAAGTTAAACATAACATTTTACTTTACATGTTACTATATATGTCTCTGAGAGCCGACAAGTTATAAAAAGGTACATTTTTTATACATATACTAGTGTAATATGAGATCAAGAAATTTTTACTAATAATACGCTTCGATAGAGTAATTTGTTTAAAAGTAGTCATTGGTTGACGTTTTTAACCTTTAGTGCCCTTAGTGTCGTTCTCCTATCTAATATAGCAATCCTGCTAAACATTCTCCCCGACTCTGTACATTCATATCTATATTGTCTACCAATAGGGATGACGTGTCAAATTTTGTCAGTGTGTTCAGTAAGGTTTACTTTTGCATGTCACTTTTCACTTTGGTACAATGCTTGGAAATTGCCCAAGATTATTATACAAATTCACATTCTTCGAAAAATTCACAAATTCACGTTCGTCAACAAACAAAATGGGGTAAGTCGAATTCTCGTATGGTTCAGAAAACGCAATTGCGTCACCGGCAACGCTCTTTGAGCTAGTTAAGAAACGAATTACTTATCACATTATATCACTAAAATATCGTAAACAAACAAACATCAAAACAACCTTATGTTTTAGTAAACAATATATATCCTTATAACCTTATCTATAAATGAACAGAATATATCAAAACAACATTATCTTAGAACAAACGAAATGTACCTAAACAAACAATATGTTATATGTAAACAACTATCAACTGGTAATAAGTAAACACACTAGTTAGTATAAATAGCAGTAAGATCTATGTAACAAGTCTTAAAATATCAATAAGGACTACCCATTGCGGTGCAACTCAAAAGTATATTTTTCATGATTCACATCGTGTAAACGATATTAATTAACTCGAAGACAACATTCAGAGCACTATAGCCAAAATTCCAGCCGAAACTCTACACCGGGTCATCGAAAATTTGCGTAAACGGGTAGAGATATGTAAACGGAGCCGTGGTGGCCATTTGGTCGACATTTTGTTCAAATCATAAATGGCATAAAATTATCTACATGACACAAAAAAACCCATTTTGACCGACATGAGTGTTTTATTTTGTTTTAAAATCACGTTGTTCACGTTTTAGACCCTTTAGAAGTAGCAAAATGAACGCAGAAATCTACATTGACTTATTAGAAAGTGAGCTGCTAGATTTTGCTTGTGATTTACATGGCAATGAATAGATTTTTTGGCAAGATAATGTCCCAAACCACGTGGCAAAGACGGCAAAGGTGTTCTTTAACTCCCAACATACTGAGTTACTTCAGTGGCCTGCCTTAAGCCCATCGAGGATCTATGTGGAATTCTTTCCGCCAAAACATTTGCATCTTAGGCAGCTCAAAAATGCCATAGTACAAGTATGTAAGATGAATGGGACAAAACTGATTTGTTTTCCCTAAAAAACTGGTGAAATCAATGAACCGTCGCATTTAGTTGGTGAAGATAACGGTAGTACCATCCCTTGTTAACTTTAAAAACCTTTTATTTCACAAAAGAAATAATATGGTAACCCTTTTCAACACAAAAAAAAGTTCTACAAGAAAAAGTAATATTGTCGTAGAGATTATAAAATAATCTTAACAAATATGCCCTCTGCTCTCTTATAGTTCCTTTTTCTAGGTTTTGGATTCCTGTATTTGGGCTATTATGTGTTTTCATTTCTTTCACTTCATTTACAAAAGATGTCGATAAGGTAACACTGGTTATTTGACATTTTGCATCCCTTTTGTTATCTATATTATATAGGCTTTTTGCACATATAAATATTTTATACGGGATTAAAAAATAAAAAAAATGTAATCCCACAAACCACCAGCACCTCATTAAAGTGTAAAAAATAATTCGAAACCACGTGCGCACACCAAAGCCAAGAATGAAAAAATGATGTTGAGACTACCATGTCCACCTTATAAATCCCAGAAACCTGCGATCATCATCTTTCGTACAGATAGGACAGTCTTCGCCTTCTTCCGAACATGTTTGTCATGTGAATAGGCATGTTTCGACAGTTCCTTGGTCAATGGGATGTACATCATGTTTCATCGAAGGTCGATGAAAAAAGTCCTTCAAATTACGCATTAAAGGCGTCAAATATTTCTGTAAAGAGTAAAAATTATTATGGCGTAAAAATGAACATTTGTCACTTTTGTGCGAACACTTGAAACTTGATAAACAAATTTTTGACGGTCGACGCAACAATGCTTAACAATGATTCACTGCCCTTTAAAAATCTTACCAGACATCTCAATATACAATATTTCAGGTTATATTCTTATCCACCGATTATATACATACATATTTACATATGTTCTTGTTGATTTTAATTTGTTTTCATTAGTTCAGAACTCTTTGTTAAATTTGTTTGGTCTGAAATGATCATAAAAACTGATATCAAGTTTGATTTTGACGTGCGCTTTGGCAGAGTAATTTGTGTCGTAACCACGTTCGCTGAACTCTCACGCAATTCGACCGCTATACAATGCGAAATCAAGACGAACTTTTTTATATAAGATGCATACGGATATACCTATAAACATACATATGGTATGTATGTACGTCCATACTTCAAACGTGTATTGCTTTTACCTTATTGAGGAAATGTAGATATACAGACAATATTTTTAAAATTTACAATTCGTATTTTAAATTTACGCTTTTCATCGATGGTTTGTTTGCTTTGGCTGTTGATTGTCGGAAACCTTTCGCAAAGATTAAATCAAGTTCAACGACTTTCTCCAAAACCATTTTTTTCGTGTTTATGATTTTGAAATTTGTGTTTATGAAAAAGTTGTTGTTCGACATCTGGTAAACTTGTACATGTAGTTCTTAAGAAGTTATCCGAAGACGGTCGATGAACTGAATACACTCCCTCCAGGTTCAAGCGTCTCTGCACAAGGGTAGTGCTTCAAGCAGAATTCTGGATTAAATAAAAATTTGGCTATCAAATATTTACATTTAAATTTTAATGGACGTATAAAAAAATGTTTCAAATAGTATATTTTCATAATAAAAGTAATTGTTAATTACACAGAGCAGGTTGCAATTATTATTATATTATTCGATTCATGGAAGCTCATAGAGACATGGTCCGAGGCTTTGTGAAGGGTGACAAAAATAAAGTCGATGCGCTTAGAAAGGAATCGGTTATAGAGAAATACATGTGATTTTCAAAAAGAAATAAATTAATATTATGGGCAAGAATTTTGCTTTATTATAAAATGGGTGTTGCCATTATGTTTAAAAATAATTTGGGCAAGCGACCGCCGCAGCTGGCTCAATTTTCGATCACTTTTTGCGGCAATTCCGATAAGCGCCTTTCGGCTTCAATTCTTGCACGAGTTGGATTTTGTGAAGCGCAAACCAACATTCTTACGCAAAATCTTCCATAAAGTGGATAGGCACAACTCCAATTATAGCGCAAGAAACGGAATTGAAATCGAGCTTTAGCTTTAAGCTAGCGTGTTTATTCCATTAATTGAATCTTAAGACTGACTTCTTATGAGCTATTTTTTTATGCTTATTCCTAAATTTAATGTTGAAACTTGTGTTTTCATCCATCAAAAAATGTCAAACGAAAACACAGTTTTCGCTGAAAACCCCTTGAAAACTTACATTCCACTCATTATAATCGGTGCCTGCTCTAGTTTAATCGATATTATTAGAAGACATATTTTGCCAGCCCTAAATGTCAGTTGACAATTTGTTTACATTCCATAAATGACCTAAACGTACCCTACAAGAAACTGCTGATGGGTTCGCCAATACACTCACATTTAATATGTCAGTACTGTTAATTTACATTTGCATTTTTAAATTCAGAACTATCCACTGATTGGAGAGATGGCATCAAGTGAAAATTTATTTTTATATTTTATTATATTTTTGTTGCACTCCTTTTTATATTTAAGTATATTATTATAACTATTTTTGATTAAAAGTTTGAAATTTATTAAAAAAATAAAAATTATATTATCTACTGCGCAAAAGAATTTTTCTATTCTGATAGCGTTTCAGTCACAACTGACAATTTTCCGCTATGACGGATTTATGGTCAGCAATGACTCAGAAAAAACAAAACAAACAAACAAAAAGAAAACAAGGATCTTAAGAAAATGATAGAAACTTTGTTCTGCGCGCTGATAAAATTTTTTCAGCTATGACTGTCATATTACCCATCAGATGACCGTCACTGTTCTTGTAGGGTACATAACAAATGTAAACAAATAGATGTGTGAACTGTCAATGAAAACTCATCGAAAACACACAATGTCGGTCAGAACGACTTTGGTTCCACAATCCACAAATTGTGTTTTCAAGATTTCAATTCGGTGCGAACATAGTATAAGAAGAAATCAAAAAGTTCTCTTAAATTTTTAACCTCTATCTCTCTCCACTGGATGAATATTTGCCCATACGTTTCCTGTGGTTGGAATCTCTGCTTTAATCGTTGCTTCACGTCAGACCAGTTGCTGTGATTTAGCAACTGTTGAACGCATCTTCCTGCGTCACCATGCAATTTCTCGTGCACGACTATTTGGGTTACAAATTCTTCCACATGGAGTCTATTGTTGCATAAGGTAAATCCTCTGTCCACAGCGTGCAAGTAAATTGTCGCCTTTTGCTCCACCGTACGATTTTAAATGGCGAAAGTGATTTATTATTTTGTCATCACTAAGAGCGAGTTGTTGCCCTGGTTGTTGGTTGTTTAGCTGCTGTTGTTTTAGTTGCATTTGCTGCTGCATCTGTGCTTGATGTTGCTGAAATGCGTTTATAACCTCTTCCTGTCTTCTTATTTCATCAGCAAGTTCCTGTGTATTTGACCAAATGCTCGTGTGTTTTTATACTCTCGCAACCTGTTGCCACAGAGTATAATAGTTTTGTTCACCTAACGGCTGTTTGTATCACATAAAACTAATCGAATTAGATATAGGGTTATGTATATATAAATGATCAGGATGAAGAGACGAATTGAAATCCGGGTGACTGTCTGTCCGTCCGTGCAAGCTCTAACTTGAGTAAAAATTGAGATATCTTTATGAAACTTGGTTGACATGTTTCTTGATACCGTGAGACGGTTGGTATTGCAGATGGGCACAAAACACCATTATTCAAAAACAAATAAATTGCCATAACTAAGCTTCACAACAAGATACAAGACTCTTATTTGGTATACAGGATCACATTAGGGAGGGGCATCTGCAGTTAAAATTTTTTTTAAAGTGGGCGTGGTCCCGCCCCTAATAGGTTTAATGTGCATATCTCCTAAACCGCTTATGCTATAATTTGCTATATAAAATGCTTTTAGCACCTCTATTGACGGTGTGAAAATGTCTGAAATCGGGTGACAAGCCCGCCCACGCCCCATATAACGGTATTGTTAAAAAATACTAAAAGCACGATAAACCAAGCAATAAACACGCCAGAGACATTAAATTTTATCTCTGGGATGGAATGAGATGACTTTATAGGAACCGCGTTCAAAATTAGACAGTGGGCGTGGCACAGCCCACTTTTAGGTGAAAACCCATATTTTGAGATCTGCTTAACCGATTTCAACCAAATTCTGTGCGTAACGTTCTTTTTATATTTCTATGTTATAGTGCGAAAATGGGCGAAATCGGACTACAACCACGCCTACTTCCCATATAACACCATTTTAAATTACATCTGATTCTTTCACTTTCCACTATGCAAATCAGGCCACAATGACTGTATCGGGATAAAACTTTGCGTAAATAATGCGATTAAAGTATGCCACCTTGTGGCCAAAAATTGTCTAAATCGAACCAAAACTGTTCAAGCCCCTAAGTACTAAATATGTGAACCCCAGTGCCTATAGTTGACCTTCTACCGAAAATATCAGTCAATCCACAAAGAAATCTCAAACGAGTATACTATTTGACTTTGCGAGAGTATAAAATGTTCGGTTACATCCGAACTTAGCACTTCCTTACTTGTTTTTTATAAATTCACTAATTCTCTATTAACAATTTGTTTACTGTTGTTCACTTTTTGGTGTTCTTTTAAAGTTTATATTTATTTTTCTGAAAATGCTTGCAGGGTCGCTTTGGCGACTGCGCCAGAAACGGAATTGGTAAATATAATGTTGAATGCAAAATATGCAATGGTTCATGTATTGTGTGTTCTGATAAATGTTTTGTATTTGTAAGTAAGTACATATGCTTATTGGAGTGTCGGCGGAAAAAAGGTTAAACCCAGTAATTTCGCTATTCTAAAGAAGTAACCTTAAGCTATTAAGCTTTTAATTAGAAACAAGAACTAAAGGCCAATTCGGGTGTAACCCAACATTTTATACTCTTGCAACTTACAAGGCTCAAAGTAGTGAAAATACCTTCCGTTGTTATGAAATTTGTATTATATATTAAAAAATGTTGTAAAATTCAACACACATTATTCGACAAAATCGTAAATGAATTACAATCAAATTCTTATTAAGTTATATTTTAGGTTAATTTATATTTTAGGTCACACTTACTCACTTAGTTTTATTACTATATTTTACTTCGTGTCAGCTAAAATGATATTAAAAACATCTTCAATTGAGATATATGGGATATAAACTCAACTGAAGAAGCTAAATTAAATATAGAGACATAATCTCCAAAGTGTGCTGGTCAAGCTTTTCTCGTACAAAAAACTTTTTTTTTGGTTCTAAACGATAAATACAAAGAAGTGGACAATTTATTGCTGCGTGGCAAATGAAAAACAAGGATAATTTTTGAGTATCATCATCATTATTATGGTGGGAAGTCTGAAATTCTCATACAGGCTATATTGGAGACAGAGAAAGGAGTGGGCTGATTGAGTTTGACATTGCTGAGGTATGTATACTTAAGAGAATATTTTCAAGCAAATTTATAAATATATAACTTACACATTGAACGACATGTTCGTCATAAGGTTAGTTAGAATAACGAAAGTCAATGATTGTAGTATTTAGGAGTTGGGGTAATCCGTAGACTAAATTTACTATAGTATATCCAATATTATTCGTTCTGTTAATTTTGCTAGATATTTTACATATTGACTGATATACTTATGTATGTATATGGCGTACGGCCAACCGGAAGATTGAAATTCTTATATTAATTATATGATAAATAGGGGTATTGACCCGATTGTATCTAATCTTGGCAATACAACATACTATTAACAGAATAAAATGCTCCCTGAGTTTCATTAAGGTACCTCACATATCATCAGCAACATATATGGAGTTAAATCTAACGGATGTTTGAAAATTCTGTGATTATTTGTGTAGAGGCTAAGGTAAGTTTTTACCCGATTTTACTCAAAAAATGCACCATTATAAGAAAAATACATCCACTCAACTTGGGCCGATATATGCGGTATGCAGTAAACCGGAAGTTCGGAAATATTTCGATAAGCTATATGGGGGCTAAGGGAAGTATTGACCCGACTCCATCCATTTTTGACATTCAAGCATACTGTTATCAGAAAGAAACTTTCTCCGAATTGCAATAAGATATCTCATAGAAGTTAGCGCCAGGCACTGAGATCCCCATATTCGGTATATAAACTATCAGGATGACGAGACGAGTTTAAATCCGACTGTCTGTCCGTCAATCTGACAATCTGTAAAAAGTAAGTGTGGCCCGCCCCCTAATAAGTTTAATGTATATCTAATCCAAACCATTAAAGCTATTATATATCATCCAAATTTGCACAGGACAAATTTTTCAAAGTCCTCTTACGGCAGTGTGAAAATAAGTGAAATCGGATAAAAACCCCGCAAAAAAAAAACCGCCCACTCCCCCTATAACGGTCTTGTTAAAAACTACTAAAAGTGCAATTAACCAATAACTAAATGTGTCAAAAATATTAAATTTCACAAGAGAACTTTATAAGAGTCGGTCTCAGATTGGAGGATTTGCGTGGCAGCGCCCACTTTTATGTGAAATCCATATCTCGGCACCTGCTTAACCGATTTCAACTAAATTCGGTACACAACATTCTTTGTATATTCCTATGTTACAGTGCAAAAATT